ATGTCGAAACGTTGTACATTTGCTGTTATGTTAAACTTATATTAAAGTTTTTCTTCATTACCCATTCAAGCCGTCTCCAGCCGTTATTAATTGTACAGTCCGTTACTCAATATTTTAGATGACAAAAACATTTTTCGCACAAAGTGCAACTCATACAGGCCAGCTGGTTCTAGCAATATTGAATGAGATATGCGATAAAAAACACTCATTCTTAAACTAAAGAAAATATCATAATTCCCAGTTCAAAAGATGTCTGTGAATAACAAAAATATAATCACCAAAAGGTATTTTATAAAATATTTACATGTATGCGTATACCTTAACTAAACTTACCGCTTGGGTAAACATGTAGAAACACATGATAACGTCCGTCAAAGTAGTTACTGACAAGGAACACATCCAGGGAACCAATAATTTTCGATTATTCTAATTGAAATTAAAAATATTTATTGAAAAATCAGAACAAGAACATTTAATGATCTCCATACTTAGCTGTCAAACAAGTGTATTTGTTCGATCTCTATCAACTAAGGAAATGGCATATTCGACATATCAAAATTTAATTTGCTTATATGTATGTAATACAGTATAACAAACTAATAACTCTATCAAATATTATATAAAGAAAGTAGCGACAAACAAGTTATGTAATAACTTGAAGAAAAAAGGTTAAGTTACTTCTTCATTTTTATCTTTTCCAATTTAGATGTAATTGTTTTTATTAATGATATAATTATAATAGAAATTCATAACTTTGGGAAAGAAATATTAAAGAACCTTCAAATAAAAACACTGAGAAAGCACTATAAAACTGTAACTAATTATGGACATAGTTTGAAAATACACAACAAATTCTGACCATGAAACCTACATTGTATATGGAATCACACGTATAAATAGGATGTAACTTTAAATCCGCTGAAAAAAGAAAAGTACGAAAAATACATATAACGTTATACGAGATTGTAGCTTCATCAGAAAATCTGTCTTCGATGAGTTCTTGGATCTAATTCAGAAGACAAGGTTTATCACAATTTTTCCAGTTTATGTTAGGTTCTGTAATTTTACTTGCATTTATAGGAGTTTGGTCTATTGTTTGCTTGTTATTAAACGCAAAGTTGCACAGTGGGGTTTTTGCCCTGTACCAATATAGAGACATAACCCGAATTTTAGAGTTTAATTCCTGTTAAAACAATCGAAATATATTGCATTGGCTTCAGATTAACTAGGCACTGCATGAGAGTTTTTAGACGTCGGCGTGATGACAACTCGTTCTGAAACCATCTCAGTTCTTCATGGTTCGAAACATTACTGTATAAAATGTTCATGGAGTGAGTGGGTGTAATGTGCAATGTGATGGTTCGAAATCATTACTGTATAAAATGTTCATGGGGTGAGTGGGTGTAATGTGCAATGTGATGGTTCGAAATCATTACTGTATAAAATGTTCATGGGGTGAGTGGGTGTAATGTGCAATGTGAGAAAACTTTCAGAATCATTTACAAAATTTTAAGAATTGTATAAATTTGTGTACATTTTTTGTCAGTTTTGGTTATCGACCAATTAATCTTTAAATTTATATTGTATTTTAAACTTTTTAGCAAAGTGCAAATTTAATTTCCGTTTTTATGCCAACAAAATATATAATATAACGATTTTGCTTGTAATAGAATATTTTAAAAAATCTATTTGACCTACGTTTAGCTTTTGATAGTAGAAGTTATCGCAAACGTTAAAGTTCTACTGATTGATTGATTCTGGCCATGACAGTTAAACAATCTTAAACAATGGTGACTAGTACGAAACCAATAAATCATAATAAAAATACCAACGCCCTCTGTTTAATGAAAATTTAATGGCATCTTTATGCTAATATCATCCATAATTTGTCGAGACAATGAATAAGATTAGACAGCAACATTAGCACAGTGGTCCTCAGTACACCCCTTTACGGCATCAACTAATTTATGTCATATTCAGAATTGTTTTTTGCTGTTGCTTATCAACAACATTTACTGTTTTACTTTTCATAATTTGAACTGCATATTGTTGTCAAATTTCAAATCGTTAGTAAGCACTTCACAATCATTTGTATTCATTTCAAATTCCACATACGTGTGTATTTAATGTGACGTACTTGCCTGGACAATGTTATTACAACATTTAGCTTTTTCCACATTTAATTTTCTTTTTGTTATGCATAAGATGGCTAAAAGAATATCAGGCATTTATCATTGATTGTTGCTTAAGTACCATTCCTCATACTAGTTTATATCCTTTGAATCCAAACATGACCATTATGTTTGGTTAAAAACTGTTATATTACTACAAGGAAAAACTATCTAGTAGTTGTTATACATATTGTAAAACAACTGGTGCTGTTAAACAAATTTATGTCCTAAGCATCAACATACAATGATTGAAATAAGAGTATCCTAGTTATAATGGAATTTAGTATACAACAGAGTTAACGAAGACGCGAAGAAAATGAAATTTATGCAGGTAATGTTCTCCCATAAGCATTTTACCTTTACAGAGAACTACAAATGTTGGTTACATACTATATTACAAAGTTAGCTTAAGAATCATTCTTTTCCTTTCCTACTTTGTACATGGAAGTCAATTCGAATTATTTCAAAAGCAATTTCTTGTTTAAAAATATTCTAGGTGTAGTTAATGTATAATACTTGTTTAAGTTTTATGCATTAGATAGATGCTTCGGTTAGGAGGCACGAGCAGCTTCTATACAGAATTTTAAGACTAATAAATATATATAGTTTTGTTTCGGATTCGAACTCTTTTGGAATATTGATGAAGACCTCCTTCCTTGGAGTACTTTCGATTATATGAAAATTGAGGTAATGATATAAAAATTACATTTTAATTCAAGAAGTTTTATGAGTTTCAAATACAACAACGCCAATAAAACGATAAGCGCCAGTATTAGGTGAGTTACATTTCTGTTAAACAACTAAACTTTATAAATAGAAACCGGAAACGTATACAAAAATATATATCAAAAACCAGAGTGGAAGGAAACGTAATAACTCTCTAAAACGCGGACACGTCTAATTAAAACTTTTGATGTCTTGGTTCTGCTTCAGTATTATTTGTAACATATAGTATTGTACTTACCGTAAATATTCCAATGAAGAGAAGAATCGAAGACAAAACGCATGATGTTGAAAGGACACAAACGAGAATGGCAAATGACAAGTACACTAAAAGGAAAGTTGATTTAATGAGGAAAACGCAACAATATATCTAGATCAAGAGCACAGAATTATCTTAATTATCTTTAGCATTTAAGCTTTGTAGTACTCAACCTGAAATACTTGGATAAACTATATAAAGTCCTCAATTTTTAGCACCGTTTTTAATAAAGAGTATTATATGTAATGTAAGCAAATGTATACATATTATTATTTACAACTATTATATCAGTTTTTAACTTCTGCTTATAGAAATACAACACGACATAAGATATTGCAATTGTCATTTAAGAAAAAACTCAAGAACATAATTACACTAAAATAATACACTGTCTTCAGCAAGTTTTAGCTTATAAGATAGATAAAGGTTACTTGTTATGTACCATTACTGTATATTCAGATAAAGATTAATTACCAATCTACTTATCCCATTGTTTACAAGTTGATATAGCTCAGTAATAAAACTATGTTGCCATGTTTATTGACTTTTCAGAATACTGTCAATTTATTGCTAGTAAACATTTTTCTGGCTTATTTCTATATATCTTCTGACGGATTTATTATTATATATATATTTTTTTAATATCGACGTTTGTTTATATTTAGAAGCATACATAGCTTATAGTATTAAACATGTATTGCGAAACTCCCACCTATTCTCTAAAGTTGTAGAAGATTCGCGAGAGTAAGAATCAACAATATATGAGTGTACGTAAACGCTTGTGTTAGCGTCAGTATTCTCCGTAAAACTGAAATTTCGAGAAACTCTCCACACGCCTATAAGTATAACCAACGCGATGCGCCAAAAGTAGTATCTATTATTAGTTTGCTATAGTCAGTGTCCTATAAAATTCAGAAGCTATAACTGTGATTGTTATAATGCTTATCAATCGGTAAACTTTAAATATTTGACCAAGAGCATTTACAAAGTTCAAACATTACAAATCATTTAACTTCAGTGGATTCTCATCGGACATTAATATTTTTACAAAAACATTATATAACTTCATTGTAGGAAACTCGGCGTGTGAGCTTCAGAATAACGAAAGACAAAGCTAGCTAGCTACCGGTTAAATGAATTATACCTACGTCAACTCGTAATTAACTCGCTCATCGTGAACCCTCGATAAGATATCGAAGAATTCCAGACTAGAAAGAAGATTTTATATTGCCTGTAGGTTTGTGAAACGTTTGTTTATAAATCATTGTTTGTAATAACTATTTGTAATAACTGTTATTTTAAATTGAATTGTTGTGTGTATATTAAAACGTACTTGTGTAAAAAAAAAGAAAACTGTGTGTATCAGTCTTGTTAGCAAATATCATAAACTGACTATATATCGGCTTTTATTTAACTGCTAAATCCAAACTACAATTTAACTACTAAATTTAAGTTTCGTTTAGCTCGGTTTCAGACCTTTCGAAATTGTAACACGTAACAATCTATATTATGATACTGTAATTCTGTTTCTCAAATGTTCGACGATAATCTAAGTGTAGAGCAGCAAAACGTTGGCTGTTTCCCATCATAATATATGCGCTACTTTAACATAACTTCTAAGAATATCTAAGTATTAAGGGGAAAATTACACTGTAAGCTGTATATAGACATAAATTCTGAGACACAGCCACACTTATACATCGCTTGAAGTATGAAGTAAGAGCACCTGCTACAATAATAAAACAAATCATTCAGCCTCATTAAACTGCCAAGAACGCATATATTTGAATTGAAAAGTGACTAAAAATGACGTTTAAATATCATCTAAGTGCTAGACCCTTTTAAAAGAAAACGTTACAAATATGCCTTGTTAATTTTTCATTGAATTTTCTATAAGCCTTTTCGGTATCATTACATTGATGTTGAGTTGTATATAAAAGAAAAACGCATAGGTGCTAGTCTGATAGTTTCAAGAAAATATTCGTAGAACATTGAAGTATCAGAAATGTAGAAAAATCCAGGTGCATATCATATTCTTATAAAATTCCTATTGTAACTTAAGGTAACGAACTTAAATTACAAGTTTACTTTTCTTGCTAAAAATATTCCTATAATTCATAAACCTTTAGTAAAAAATGTTTAGACTGAAATTGTATTGCTAAAAATGTCTTCTAATTTTGCTATTCAATTTAATTTTTTTACAAAAGCGTTGAACACGTGGCAAGAATGTCATTTTCAAACATATGAAAATGGCTCTCTCAAAAGAAAGCTGTAGTTAATTATAAACAAAGGTACTATTATTAAAAGGTTGGATCCCTTATTTTCTCTGGTCATTAATCCACAAAATAACAGCTCTTACATACATTCTCGTACTAGCTCATCTAAACTCATAAAAGTACGACAGTTATCTTTCATAATGAAGAAATCAATTTAAATTATATTATATAGATTAATTGATTACTATACTTGGTACATAGAAATATTTCTTCTTCCTTCCGACTATAGAATGGATGTCAAGTTAACGTACTTAAAAACAAGTCTGACATTTAACGGGTAATATGTCAGAATATTGATTATAAAATTCGTTCATGCTTATTTCAATAAAGAGAGGTAATTGCTATAACAGAAATTAAATTTGAAATCTTTACCAGTATCAGGTGTAACAAGACTGGTGTGGTAAGAGGCCACTGACATCTTTATTAGGTAGAAAATCTGTAAGAGTAAAAAAATATATTACATTTTGTCAATATATTTTCGAAACATAAGTATGTATATTAATGACTTAAAGAGTATAAATTCAGAAAAAATCAACGATAATCCAATTATTACTTATTTAATTCCAAAGCTACAAAAGGGGTTGTCTGCGCATGACCTTTGATTTTGAACTGATAGGCAGATACTCAACAGCACCCACAATTAAAATGTGAGCAATTTTTTACTGACCGAATATTGGTAATTAATTGTTGCTTTTCTTGAACACCCATGGCCTTGAAGTGCTGAGTGTGTGTTTTTTTTTCGGGGGGGATGGTGGGTGGGGTGGAAGGAACCCTCGGACTTACAATCTGAGCATGCTAACAACTAAGTCATGACCAGCCGAATAACCCACTAAGGGAATCTTTCAATATTGCATATTAGATACATATTAGACAGGAACCTGTTTAAAAACAAAAATGTATATAATATGTAATCTTAAATTTTACACTTTTAGTAAGATTATCTAATAATACTTGTAAAAGTTTACTTAAGATTTTCACATTTCTTATATAGAGTGCAATAAATAGTCGCGATTTCGGCTTTATTACAGTTTTATAATGCTCTATATAATTATATTAATTCTTGTAATGTTTTCTTTATGACCCCTTATAGAGTTTAACTCAATTTTATGTTCCTTATACGTAAAATTCCAATACTGATCGACAGATGCCTAAACTTACCTCAAAATTTTAGTGTTTTTTAACATGTAAACATATTTGTGCATTGTTGGTATGAAACATACATTCTCTGTCCACATATATTTTAGTATCATTAAAATCATGTACCGCTCATGTCGTCCCCCTACACACACACACATATATACAGCAGCCGAGAAAGATATCTTCATATTGGCCACCACGTCTAACTTTCCAGATTCCATGGGATAATCTCATCGAAATACATTATGTCACATTGATTAACTATCATTTAGAGCTCAAGCATCCCCCAGTAATATCAATAAATCTTACACCATGCTAAAATTCTCACCTTTTTTTTAATAACCTCTGAGAATTCACTACCACGCCAATATTCTTTCATGTCCCAGACAGCTATTCAGCAATACTTTCCGGTGCATTCTCAAGTATTATAATCACATCCTGGCTTTTTTTCCACACTATCTCTCGTATTTTCAAGCAAGCAGTTAATAGATCTACAAATAAATATCCTACATCCAACCTCATCCGCATAGTATTGACACATATATGTCTAAAGACAATACGACATATTTCGGTAGTTTTTTTATCATGATCTTCCTCAATTTGCGTCTCATATTGAACCATCATTTTTATCATTACTACAGTATTCTGTGACAAGGACCAGACAACAAGGTCCAATTTCAAGGTAATCCTGATTATTACCTCCAGAATAGTTGCCAGCTCGCTTCCATCCATAAGAACCTCCTAATATGCCGAAGCTCATTCACACGAACACTCTAAACAACTTGCTCCGAGCTTCTTCATCAGCTTGCGTCTTACGATTGCCATATGTTACATAAGATACCCAATACTACTTCTGTCTTGGTAGCCTCACTACCTATTCTACAGTTTCTACCAAAATTCGCAAAATCTGGTTGTGTTTCCAAGTGTAACAGTTGCAACAAAGCGCATCTGGAGAGACAAACCATAAGTGTTCTAAAGTACCCATATGCGACCGACCATCTGAACATAAATCAGAATCTGACAAGTCCATTTTATCTTGCTTCTGGAAATTGAAAGCACATTGTATATGCTGGCATAGGAATTGCCAATTACACTGGACTCAAGGAAAGATGTTTCACCCTCCCAGGAAGTCCACGCATCGTTATGTGGCTGTTGGACAGCCCATATTGCCCTCGCCCGCTCTTTTCTGCTGTGAATCTCAATCAAAACTAATTGGCTCCTACTACAAATTTTCTGCGAACCCCACTTCACTGTCAGGCTTCCAAATCCAACACATTAGCAAGCAACTGATTAACTGCAGGATCTCATGGAACATCGCATCAACTATGGCATAATCTATGGCTTGATTCGCATCCAACTTCTGACCACACTACCCGCACTTAAATTCTTTATAATTTGATTTTACCATTAGCTGTAGTTTTTCTTTCTAATGTGCAATGCCACGGTTGTCAGTCTCCGTGGTACACCAAGCTACTTCTGCCACTATATATTCATTTTACTTTCATTGACTTCAAAGCTCGATAATGCGATCTCATGTACAATTAGGGAACAAAGAATTCTCAGCATAAATTCAAACTAGAAAATTCATAGCTTATATGAACTTGATGATCCACCCC